TATTAATGCTGATTTTAATAATAATAATAATAATAAATTTTTTTGCTGATTATTCTGTCGTCAAACGCGACAAAACATTACGACAGCTTTTTTTTTCTCTTTTGTTCGTTGTTATTGTAATAATAATAATAATACGAATAAAATAATAATAATAATAATAATAGTATTATTAATTTTCTGAAAAAATACCTTAGGTAATTATTTTTTTAAATGACAATAATAATAATAATAATAATAATAATAATAATAATAGACGAAAATCTCTTGAAATCGCGAAATAAAAAAAAATTTTTTTTTTTATTTTCTTATTTGTGTCAAATGACGAAAGATTTTTTTGTTTGTTTGTTCGTTGAGCCTTTTTAACATTAACGTACATTTAAAATTTTGGCGCGTTTTTTTTTGTAAGGTTGCAATTCTGGAACGTGTAAGAAAAATAAGAATTAAAAAAAAAAAAAAAAAATGGCGGAAATAATTTTTGAAAATCGTTTTAATTAAAATTTTCGCGTTGTAAAATTATCATAATTATCGTTATTATTATTATTTTGACAAAAACGTTCCAGTTAAAGAAAAATTAATGACGTCATAAAAGTAATAATTTGATCTGAACGTCAATATAATAAATCCGTTCGGTAAATAAATAAATAAATAAATAAATAATTAAAACTTTTTTTTTTTCTATTCTTATTCGTTTTTATAGTTATAGCCGCCATTTTTTTTTTGTCTTATCAATGAATTACAATACGGTTCGTTTACCATTATCATTATCAACAACGATACGGTGAAAGTTAATAATATTAATTTATTTGAATAAAAAGGAAAAAAAAGTTCAAATGTTTAAAAATATTAAAAAATGTCGGATTTTGAATTTATTAATTAATAAATTAAATAAATTTTTTATTTTTATTTTTATTTTTTTGTATTAATAAATTTTGATCACGTTCAACGCGAAATTTATTAAAAATGACGAAAAAAAAAAAAAATAAGTAAATAAATAAATAAATAAATAAAATAAAATAAATTAATAAAAAATAAAAAATGACGTCATTGTGTTTAATTAATTTATTACTTTTTTTTTTTTTGTTTAATTCTAGTGAATTTTTTAATTTATTAATTATTTATTTATTTATTTATTTATGTATCTTTTATTATTATTATTATTATCATCATTCATAAATTGACTTATTGATTATGTGCTTATTAATTTATTAACTTCTAAATTTTCGATAGCCCATTTAAAATACCAAAACAAAATATAAAAATATTATTAATGTTTATAAATAAATAAATAAATTATGGTAATAAAATATGAAGTATTTCCGGTTTTGGCGCGTTTCAATTTCCTTTTTCAAGGGGGGGGGGACGGAAGGAGGTATTTGTTCGTGGAAAAGCGGAAAAGGGTAGTAAACAAAAGCGTTTTAAAAAGGAAAAATTTTATGTAAGGCTTTACCACCGGTAATTTTTTTTTTTTTCGCCATAACCACAACGGAGATTATTGTAAACGGTTTTTCACTGTTGTAGTGGCAGCACTGCAAATAATAAACAATTTTTAAATAAATAAATAAATAAATAATTACTTTCGGTCGTTCGAATTTTTTTTTTTTTTTTTGCGAAATAAAAACACACCTTAAAATAAATAAATTAATTAATTATTAACCACCTTGATATTATTATTACCGTGAGAGAAATTATTTAACCGTAAGTTATTTATTAATAAAAAGACAAAATTATTAATTAATAATTTTCGTCACACATAATAACATAATAATAATAATAATAATTAATAATAGTTTTTTAACGACAGCGTAAATGTCGTTTACATTGTAATACATTTCGTTTATATTCCGCGGGGAGTAATGGGTGGGGAAGGAGAAAAGGGCTTTCGCGTTCCTCTTTCGTGCGTGACCCACCACCCCCCCCTCCTTCCTCTCCGTTTTGATTAAATCGCGTGACCGGAGGCTTGGTTTCAGGCACGGCAACTTTTTTTTTTTTTTTTTTTTTTCATTTTACGGTGGAACGCGAGATGACCTATCATTAGATTTCACTCGTGAAAAGGGTGTGAAAGAGGCTGTGGCAGTTGATAAATATCAAGTTTTTTTATTTTAAATAAAATACCAAAAAAAAAAAAAAAAAAAAAAAAATGGCCGACTTTGTTTAACTTTTTAATACAAATTATGACCGCCAGAGGGGAGAAAAGAAAATTTTATTTTAAAAAAAACAAATTATTATCAATTTAATTTTTTTTTTTTTAAAGGGATCGATCGTACCTGGAAAATTTATTATTATTATTATCATCATTAATATAATTATTACTTTTTATAAAAAGTGGTAAACGTTCTAAGAGGTAAATAAATAACGACATTTTTTCGTTAAATAAAAAAAAAAGCAAAAAATAAAATAATTGAATTTGAAAATTTTTTTTTTTTACTCGGTAATAAATATTTTTATTACGTAATTTTTTTCTCTTCAAATCGGATTTGTTTTGTGTATAATCTGAGGTAATAAAAGAGTAAAATTTTTTTTTTATGTAAATACGATGATTACAATCGTTTTATCCCGTCATTGATTTTTTTTTTTTTTGAAATATTTCAACCGTTAACGTTTTTTTTTTCTTTTTCTAACTCGTCAAAAAATTAATCCTTTCTCTCTCTCCCTCTCTCTCTCTCTCACTCATTTTCGAAATCAACTTTCTATTGTTGATAAGAAATTCTAGCAAATTTTCATATTTTTTTAGAGAGTTTATATTATTATTAATAAATCTGACAAGTCATTTTTACATTAACGAGATGTTTAAAAAAATTATTATTATTATTATTATTATTTATTAAATTAAATTAAAATTTTTTTTAAATAAATTTTTTTACAACGGTAACAAACCTGTAAAAAAAAAAAAATCATTTTTCGATCGATTAATAATAATAATAATAATAATAATAATAATAATATGTATTTTCGAAGGGAGTTTTAGAATAAATTATTGGATTAAAATTTTTTTTAATATGAGACTAATAATCCAGGCGAGTTTTAATACCTTAAATAAGGTAAAAAAAAATTTTTTTTTTTTAATCTTTGTCGGGTTTTTATTACGTCATTCATACGCGGCTTAATGCCCTCTCCCCGCCCCCCCCCCGAAAAAAAAATATTTTATCAATTTATTTATTTATAGTATACGTTTTTTCTTTTTTCTTTTCGGACGAATAATTTATAAGGAGAAATATAATAATAAAAAGGTTTCGAATGAGAGAGCGAGAGAGAGAGAGAGTGGGGGGGGGAAATATTCGTTCCGCCATATTGTTTACGATGCTATTTAATTTATTTAATTTAATTAATTAATTTTTTTATAGCGCTACAAAATGCTATAAAATTTGTTCGGTTCTTTTGTGTTGTTTAAACGCGAATCGTTTTCCCCCTCCCCCGTAGAATTAAAAATCGAAACCGCCATTTTGTTTTTTTTTTTAAATTCTAGAATGTTCCCTCCCCCCCCC